AATTGCAGCAGTTAGGCTAAATCGTTCTGATACACAATCCTGTTATCTAAACACTTGATACATGGTCATTATTTTCAGAGAGGAAGGGACAAGTGTCTTGTCTTGCTCTTAAGATTATCTAACCTGAAATCTTCTGGTGTCACAGAATGTGATTTGAATGAGAATTGATAGTTTGTTTTATTTTGACAGTAGGCTTTTGTTATTGAACTGTCTGTTGGGACAGGAGTTAACATGCATTTGGCACATGTCAACTTTATTTTCACTCCTTTAGAATGTCTGAGTTGATTGAGAAGGAGACTGAAGAATACCGCAAGGGGGATCCAGACCCGTTTGATGACAGACATCCGGGTGAGGCGTAGTGAACATGTTTTCCAGATTGCATGTACTCTGCTCTGTTTCAAAAGATAACTGGTCATTCACATTTAAAAAAAAAAAATAGCTTTAGTCCTTCCACTGCTAATTGAGTCTTGGCATCACTGTTGCTTATGATAATCTTGTCTTAAAGTTTGTGATCCAGCATTTCTGAATTGTCTATAAGAGTTTGAGCTTCTAAGTAGAATTTTGAAGGGCTTCTTCAGAGATTGCGGTGGGCAATGTAGATGTCTGCCTTGGTCTCCGGTTGGTAAAAGAAGTTGGAAATTGCAGTCTACAGATCTTGCTGATCCTCTAGTGCAGGGGTAGGCAATGTTTTTTGGTCGGAGTGCCGAAAACCCTCACAGTGCCTACCTTGGAAGGTGCCATAGTGCTGGCGTGCCAGAAAAACAAAATGAAGGCAGGGAATACATGGCAGGATGCCCTTGTGTGTGCCTCGTGCCCCCCAGCCCTGCTGCCCTGTGCTCCCCAGCCCAGTCTCCCAGCTGGCAGCAGCTACCCAGAGCTGGGGCCAACTGCAGCTGGGAGGCTGCATGCAGCTGTGCCGGGCTTTGGAGCCCCAGCATCAGCTCTGTACTGGTGCATGCCCCTGCGCTTCTGAGTGGGCAGTGGGGGAGGGGCCTGAGGAAGCGCAACCCTGGTCTCTTCTGCATTCCTGGCACGGAGCTGGTGACTGGGCTCCAGAGCCCAGAGCAATTGTTTGTAGCCAGCCTGGGCTCTGGGCAGCTGCAGCAGGCAGCGGGCAGGCTGCAAACAGCTGTGCTGGACTCCACAGCTCTGGCATCGGCTCCATGCTGGCAGCGACTACATGGTACCTCGGGCCGGGCTGTGCTGCACTGCGCTGCTGCCCTGTTTGGAGCCTCCTGGCTGCAGCTGTTTGGAGCGTCCCGACTGCAGTCGGCTCCGGCTCTGGGTAGCTGCTGCCAGCCACAGAGCCCATCCCAGCAGGAAGCTGGGAAGCTGCAAGCCCTGCTGGGAGCAGCCTGGGCTCCAGCAGCTACCCAGAGTGTGGGCTGGCCGTGGCATGCTGAGCAAAATGGCCTCACGGGCCATGCTCGGCACGTGAGCCGGGGGTTGCTGACATTTATACTACATGTATAAATGTAGATGATTTCTTCCATAACTCTTTTGTTTGAGACTGATCCTGTTACCTGGGGAATCCCACAACAGTTTTGATATAATACAGCGAGAGCTTTACTCTTCCTTTTTGTACCTAAAGCTTTTTGCTGGTTAAATGATAAGCAGAGGTCCTGCTCTTTTTTTTTTTTTTAAATCAGAGAAAAAATCCCTGTTTTTTCTGTGATTAAAATGAAATGCCACTATACATACAGGTATCAATTGAACACAATGTTTTATTGATATATTTACAATTTTAAAGTAATTTGGAAGCCTACTAGTGCCTCAATCATTATAGTAAAATACATTTTAAATACCTGTATATTTTGGCGTTTAATTTTTTCTTTATCATGGAAAATCAGAGCTCCCCCTGCCCCCCTTGCTCACTAGGATTTGGGTCCAGCTGCAGCTGTCCCCACCCCTGCCTTGTGACACTGAGCGGTCCTGATATGCTGGTGCGCTGTCCATGCCTTCACCTCTCGCTCCCAAGCCATAGCTACCCCAGTCCTGCCAGTGCCCCTCACTCCCAACCTGCAGCTCCCTTAGCTCTGCCAGTGCCCCTCACTCCTGACCCGTGTCCTCCTGGACCTGCTGGTTCCTCTGCACTTCCAACCTACAGGTCCCTGGCCCTGCCCCCTGTGTGTGAGGAAGGGGGTGGGTGTGTGGGGTAGGGGGTATGTGAACACGGGTAATGTGCTGGGGTTACAGGTGGTCGGTGGGGGGAGGGGCAGGTGCCCCCTCAGATTTCTGTGCCCACAATGGGGTGCAGGGCTGTAGCTGGGCCAGACTAACTCAGGGCATCAGCTGCCTCCACAACCCAGCAGGTGGGACCCAGTGGGGGAAGAAGCGCTGTGCTGCCATGGTGAGGTGTGACAGTGGCTGCAGCATGCAGTTGTGCCCTCTGCTGCTGCTGGGCAGGCAGGAGCGCCTCACCTTGGCAGCCGCAGTGGTACAGCACTCCCTCCCATGCTAGGTCCCGCCCACTGGGTAGCTGAGGCAGCTCCTGCCTGGAGCTGGTCCAGTCTGGTTGCAGCCTCTTACAGGCACAGAAGTCTGGGGGGATTCGTGCCATTATCTGCACTCTTC